ATTCGTAATTAAAATGGTCGCATATGACCTTTTATTATCCATTATCAACCTTGATAAAAAAAGGCACTCAAGAACAATCACACCAACTAGAGTAAAGCACAACAATTCAACAACACAATATCGACGAACAGTAACAAGGGGAGAAACATACTAAATGATCGAAATCCGACTCTGTTATTATAAAAATTTACCTTGGTATGCACTCGCAGTCATCCGTTCCTCTTTTAAAGTAGCGCTGACGATCGTCTAGGGCCAGCCAACCCACGTTTCCGTTTCACCCCCCCCCCGTTACCTTGAACTATAATGTACCTACCAGGTGATTTGATAAGTTTCTTGGGCTCAACATGGAAAATGATAATATCAGAAAATCGCTTATTGATTAATATAACCTCCCTTAGGTTTAACAAATTTTTCCATCGATATTCTGTTTGATTTACCATAGCTTCCCTGAAGTTATTATCTGGAAGCGCTTCAGAATACCCCTCTACGGCTGTAATGACTGACCGTTTTTCTGGACTTTTTTGTGCGGGCCTGTAGGGTTGCTTAGTATACGCCGTAGATTGGTTTCATCTTCATTAAAACTCGCATCGACATCCCAAAGAAAAAACTGTAAAAAACTCCTTCAGGATGGATAATTGATCTTCTCTTCCTGCACCAATTTTTTAAAGATTTGGTAATGTCATTCTTGAGATCCTATTCGCCGTAGATTGGTTTCTTCTTCATTAGAATGCGCTATAAGAAGAGCGCTTCGATTTCCCAAAAAACTGTAAAAAAACCTACTTCCAGGAGAGATAATTGGTCTGGACTCTGGCCTTCCTGCACCAATTTTTAAAAGTGCTGATCTTATTTTCTACGGTTTCTAAAGGTAGAATAGCTAATTCAGAATCAATAGTATACAAGGAACTACTCAAGAAAACAAATGAATCGGTCTAAAACCACTTGGGTGCATTTTAAAAAAAAAGCTTTTTTGATGAGAACGCTTGATTATTTAAGGCGTATTTTGGGCGTACACTTGCTGAGTACATTCCATTCCGAAATAATCCATGCAATACAATTCAGTGCTAAAAGTCTTGCAAATACACAGCTTCTGCCTACAAATGGATTGCCACAAAACACGCAGAAGACGCACAAGTAGCATTGCAGCTTGAAAAATGAATTTACACACAACTAATATTTAACTTACAATGTGTAAACCTTGGACAGCTGTTTCGTGCTTCTTGGATACTCATCAGCATGATCGCACCTATCCTCTATCCACGAGGTACGGTCTATGGAAATAAAACAACGCAAAGCGCCATCTATCACACCAGCAGTTGAATGACAAGTAGACCACATCTACTTGACAGCCAGAATCGTCACCCATCTAGCGGTCACGGAATGACTGGGCTTTTAAACGTGAACTGAGGACAGCTATCCGCAGTGATCGATTATGGTGTGATACATGACGCTTTCCGCGGTCTTATTATAAGAACCGGGCCTAAGGTCATAACAGGGTTGGTTAAAAATATATCTCAGGATGTGGTCATATCAACGGCTGTTCATACACGCGTTTTAGCTGTAAAGTTTTGCGATTCTTCTAGCTGCGATTAGCAGGAAATACTATATTATGCGTATTTTCCTATCTGTGTTGTTTGATAAGTTATTACCTGTCAATTAACTTAAACCGATGCATCAAGTAATTTCGATAATTACTTTCGGTATCTCCAGCTCATTTAAATTGTACCTAATAAGTTTGCATTTATTCTACTTTGCATACCATGCTTTTTAACTTATCTGTTTTACCTTGCAAATACAAACACGAATGAAATGCATTTTTTTCAAATAACTGACGGTACATAATCTAAGGTGGTGGTATGTCGCATGCCCATAACTAACTAACAGTTATGATTATGCCAGGCATATAGCATTTGAAATATGCGTAACTATGTTTCTGCCAGTTTTCGCCTACAACTTGGCATGCGCGGAGGTACCCGTACGTCAAGTCAACTTGTATTTACTGGTATCATCAGGCGATCGCGAATGGCGGACAATATTCAGTGCAAGCGTTTTAACGTCTTCGAGGTTTTCAGAATCGTTATGATACTTAGGATTTTCAGAATTGTCGGTTTTTTCAATTTTAACAATCTTTCGGGTTTTCAAGATCATAAAAAGATTCAAAATTATCAGAATTGCAACACTTTTCAAAATTTCCAGAAGTTCTGTTTTCAAATTTATATGACGTTTAAAAGTTCATTCATTCAAAAGTACTCAAAATCTCTAACGTATTCAATGTTCCCAAAGTTTTTGGTATTCTTAATGGTATCAAAACTTTCAGGACTTTCAAAATCGTCAGAAAAACTTCTCAGAGATGTAGAAATTTTAAAAATTATCAAAACTAGCAGCATTCTTACGATTCAATATTAACAGAATTTCAGTGATTTAAACATTTCCTAAAATAAGAAACGTTTCGAAAGATCTTCAATATTCTGAAAGCTTCCAATCTTTCCTAATTTTCAAAATTCTCAAATTCTTCTCAATTGTCAAAACTTTCAATTTGCAAAACCTTGAAAGTTCTCAAAATCTTGATGATGAAATTTTCCAAAGTATTTTCAAAATATAACTATAATATAATATATGGTTTTCAACATTATTGGGCTTTTATGGATCTTAAAAATCTCCTGAATTTTGACGATATCCAATATTTTCAAAGATTCCAAAATGTTCAGAATTTTACAAATTCTCACAATCCTCAAATTCTTCTCAATTGCAGGAGTACCATTCAATTTCGGGATACCCTGTGGCTGAACTATACTCATTCAATATTAACAGAATTTCAGTGATTTAAAAATTTCTAAAATTTTCAAACTTCTCATATTTCTAAATTTTTAAATTTTTTGTCAAAGTCTAGAGTTTCCGTAGTACTGAATTTTTTAGGATTCCAATAATTATGGTGTTTTTGAGGGTTTTCAGAATTTTCAAAATTGTGAGACTTTGCAAATTTTCTAAATTCTCATATTTTCTTCAATATTTTCTAAATATAAGAAACTTCTCGAAAGATCTTCAATATTCTGAAAGCTTCCAATCTTTCCAAATTTTCAAAATTCTGAAATTCTTCTCAATTGTCAAAACTTTCAATTTGCAAAACCTTGAATGTTCTCAAAATCTTGATGATGAAAATTTCCTTTTGTGCAAAAACCAAAAAAGAGCATATAAAACAGTATTCCATTCTACAGTATTACCACCAAAAATTAAACTTTGAAGTTCTATAAAATAGCAGACAGAGGGTTTCGTAAAGAAAAAATGATATGTTCGTAAAAGTTACATCCTAATCTTTCATTTTAAAGTAAGTAATGAAGTATTTGCGATAATATATGTTCATATGAGCTTTACAACATGAATTAAATTCAGCAATTCGCGCTTGAAACTACGCCCCATAATTACGCTTCACCCTGTATATTGAAAATTATGAAAAGCAAATCTCCAATTGATTGTCAATTAAGGGTGAGTTATTGTTTGTTTAAAAACCAAAGGTTGATGAACCCTCAACCGTCACTCAACCCTCAAGGGTCCACTATAAATGCGAAGCTATCGATGCGTGAGCGGTTGACCCTAAAAGACACCTTGACACAACCCTTAACTTAGTTAGGAACTGGAAAGGTAACGGATATACTAGAAATTGTGTTATGGGGATTAACTGCTGGAACGCGACAAAGTTTCCAGATTAGGGCGAACAGAGTTACTGCTTACTTGAGGTCTAGAAAAACAGGAGATCAAATGGAAGATTGCGTGGGCCTATAACAAGAGGGAAGCAAAAATTAATGAGAGATCAAGTAATGAGAGAATGGCAGAAAAAGTGGGATACTAATGAGAAAGAAATAGAAGGATATTAGGTTTTTAAAGAGATCGGAGAAGGCATGCTGCACCTAAGCTTTAGGACATGCCAGATTGAGGACCCAAATAGGTGAACGGGGAGATCGGAAGCCTCCTAGACGTTGGGGGGGTCATGAATTCATTTGGGGGGTCAATGCAATGGCTAATTTGTGTTTTTTGCAAATACTTGCAACGAAAATTACATATTACAAAAGAACGGGGTTGACGTGCTAGCCTTAACATCACTGCGACCCAAATGGATCTATTGTCACCCCCATAACATATATACTTGCTAAAACACTGCTTCCAGCCTCGACTCCTTAATCAGACTCCATAGCCTTGACACAGAGCCTTGTATGTTGCCTTCCGCTGTTGGACCTGTGGTCGCTACTATCTAAGACCGTAGCCTCACCAGGTCATCATATTGACAAAGGAGATGCACTGGGGTTTCCTCATGCTCTCTGCAGAAACGACATGTGAACCGTTTTGTCAGACCCTAGAGCCGCACAAGTCGATTTAGACGACAGTGTACTATTAGGAGTTCCACTATGGCCCTTATGGCTTTCTTATCAAATCCGAGTAAGTCCTCTTCTTTGCTCTAATTGGCTGTACCACCATTCCAGGACTTTTTCTTGGTCCAATTCCTTAAGGACTTTCTAGTGCGGGTTCTCGCCACGCCACAGCAAGGCTCTGGATGTGTATAAGGCGATTGGCCGCACCCTGTCGGACTAGCTCATCCGCCTTTTTGAATCCTTGTGTGTCCTTCATGTCCTGGTACCCAGATTAATATCACCTTGTTGCAGTTTCCCAGCTATTTGAGAGTGTTCAATCCCGTACTAGTTTAGACGATGTTTGTGGTGAACTTATGGCTGACTTGTTGCCTGAGCAGATAACGATCGACTGATATGCAGACTCATTCCTTAATAGCTCTTTTGTGCAGACTTGTAGGGCCTGAACGAGAGGGGGAGGGGGGGTATGCTAAATAAGCTTTAGAACCTATGTTCTTAATGAAGAATCCCTTGAATTGCACTCGAGAATATATTTTTGTTGTAAAATCTATCTATATATCTTTTCTGGAATTCTAGATGTCCTGGTACATACGTAGAGATGACAGGTATAGAACTGGGTAAAATGAAATAAAACATCCCAACTTACAACATCTTTTCATTTATTCTAAGCATATTATTAACCAAATCGTAACGATTAAACTCACTGGAATCAGTGTCCTTCAAACTAGAATTACTAATGGTATTCGAGGTATCGAAACTGGCTCTTGTCACGTCATGCTTCCTGAACATACCGCACAACCTCAGTGGCATAACGTATATATTCTTTTCACTATTCTTCTTGAAGCAGCTTTTGTCCTTGAGACTATGCGCCCGGAACGAACTCAGCAGGTAAGTACTTCTGGTGGAACTTCTGCCCGCGTCTCCGAGCCGGATCGGGTATTCTGACTGGCCCCGATTCTGAGCGAACTCCCTCGTCAATTGGGGGACTCCCTCAGAGTTGGACCTCTGCATGTCCCGTTCGGAAGGGGGTACCTTGTGCACCACCAGGTAGTGATTTGAGTTTTTTGCGCAGCATACCTTGCGAAATGTACCCTGAAACACGGAGATTAGGAATAATACCCAGGAAATACACAAAGGTGTTATTTTCTTTCTAAAAAAAGTCCCCCAGAACATTTTATCCCCCAAAAATACCAGGAGGGAAGAGGAATTCACCCAAATCCCACAATATGGCAACACTGGGGCTGCGTGAACTGTGCATGGTAAAGGCCAATATCATCGTTTACGCGGGATTGGTCATCGCAACGATCGTATGCACCGCCAAGAATTCGTCTCAGGGGGAGGAGGAAGGTCTATCAAACTTTTGTTACACGCATTTTTTTACAAAATGTATCCTCTCAGGCTAGAAGTGACTGTTATTTTCAATAAAATGCTCAGTAATTGCTATAATATAAATCAAGATGTATTGTACCAGCTGACTGAACTGCTACAAACCTATAAAGAGTGTCTATATTTTTTCGCTGGTTTGATAGGTATTTTATAAGAACTCAACTGTATCCTTTAGATCCGTTACTTCAAAAACGCCTTAAGCTTACATTTTGCGCTCCTGATACACTGGACAGCTACACGTACCTTGAACGCCTTCCTGAATCTCTTAGACATGATGTGGTACAGTATGGGGTTGACACATGTAGACACAAAGTACAGCACCCCAGAAACGTACATGAGGTACAAATAGAGGCTGACCAGCCTCTGTTGCTCCTCTGGTGGGGAGGCAGACAGGTAGACTGCCAGCAGACGTTGAGCATGGAATGGAGCCCAGCATATGAAGAAGGCAACCACTACAGCAACTGTGGACAAGAATAAAAATTAGTGTTTATTTTAGGTTGAAGGGTATCTCAACATTCTCGCAATGTTTAAGTTTGTATCTATTCGCCTGGTGTAGTGTTTGCAACAAGGTAAAAGAAATAGTTTGACAGATTTCAGATTGGGAGCAGCGGAGTGGTATACAAGAGAGTAAAAATCAAATAATGGCGAACCTTCCTATTGTTTAAGTAATTCCTAGCTACTTCCAGAATGCTGTTCAAACTGTCAGCATGTATATCACAACAATTCGATATAGAAAAAACAAAACGCCAGAGTGACACGGCAGATCGATCAACATGACATTAGTAAAGATTTTATAGTTTTTGAGATACTGCCCCTTTCAAAAAATCCATACCTTTTGCTCCTTTTTGCGTGTTATGGCTATAAAGAACTTCTAACTTATAACTTTTTTCCTGTGGTACCATTAATAGTTCGTTGAAGCAACCGACTATTAATTTCATTAAAAACTAGCAAGGTATGCTAAAAAAAACTAAATTATCATATTTTGTTTAAATGCGAAAACACTAATTACCGTGAAAAAAGAATGTACCAGACTGAATCAGCAAATGACCTTAAAAATTAGCTATTGGATGCTCTTTCCAAAATAGTATAACGTTTGTAGGTTCTTTTTACGAAAAACTGAATAATTCCAAGTTTTTTCATTGAAGTCGTGATACTTGCGAAATACTACAAATAAATGCAGCTGTCTTTTATGTCCAAATTACAACTTTGTAGTTGCTGTAATCGTCTAAAGGAAAAAACAATCAAGAAAAAGGAGCAATAAACATATTTCACTAAGGTGAGAAACATTGCTAGCAAGCCCACAGACATTTTTGCGTTAAAAGATGGAAATTCAACGCTTAATGAGACTCATCTAAATGTATTGTATGTATGGTTATGCAAAATCTCGACATAAGAGTGCGCATCTGCAAGCCAAAGCCAATAAGATAATTTAACATACCGTATCATGTGCATTTTAAAATTCAATTAAGAAGTTCCGTCTAAGTCAAAAAAACTATGTTTTCTATTTGAGACAAGTTTGACTAGCTGTTCATGTTTATCATAAGTAGTTTTCAAACAGTAATAATAAAAACTTCTGCTTTTACCATTGATTAACATATTCCATCAAGGATAGCCAATAATGTACTGCATTTTGGCATCTAATTGGGCTGTAGCGCCATCTATGTGAGAGTAGCAGAACCAAACACTCAGAAATTTTTCTAAATTCATTCTTGTGATAGTATATTTTAGATAAACGCTGGAGCACAGTATATCTTCGGGGAGAATACGTTAGCCATACTTTTACGCAACGGCAACGCAAAAAAAATCCCCAACATGGATTAGAGGAAAATGCCGAGTCGATTTATTTGACTCGATTCCGCATGCAAAGCTGAAGATATTGAAAAAGTTATGAAATTGGAATCAACGACTCATCAATATTTTACGTACGTTCTCGCTTACGCAGCAATGCAAGTGATAACAAAATTTCAGAGTTTCATAATTTCCGCACAGTAGGTTAACACGGGTATTACAAGGCACAACTTAATAGAGAGCATAAATGGCTCTTAGCAACAAAGCTTGAATTGTGACTCGACAATCCACTCTCGGTTCAGAAATCACACGTTGTCCGCCCCCTATGATGCTGTGAGCGTATAAACTGATAACATTCTATATGCATAGATTATATAGATGAGACAGCTACTGTTGGTCGCTTTGACCCGTGTTTAGCGCGCTCCCTACCCGATTCCATGGGCGTCCGGAGAAATTTTTCCCAGGGGTGGTTACGATTCATTGGCGTGACGTCACGAATGTCATACGTCAGACTAGAGAATCAAGAGAGCTTTGTATATTGAATAATACCACCAAAAACTGTTGAAAGGTTTGATATAAGTAAATATTTCAGTGACAGTTGACAGCAATTGAGATCCCACTAAATACGCAGCTCTCTGGTTGGCAGTGATTTTTAACAGACTGTCGCCTCTGGTAGTACTATGTGACAGTATCACCGATTTTAATTCAAACAAATAAACGAAGACCTGGAAAATGTCGAATCTTATATGACTAGATGGTACGATGTGGCATTAAAACAGCTTAAACGTACAAATTTGAGACAAATGAAGTTGAAGGATATCTAGCATCACCTTTTGGCGATAGGAGATATTTAAGATGAAAATATATATGTACAAAATTATTAAGTCCCATCCGTATAAAATGTCACGCCTATGGCAGAGTTCACTTTCAGACTTCAGCTGATTGATGAGCATTTCACTAACGCGAAATGAACTCCGATAACTTGAAATATTTGCAAGAGCGCAAACCATGTATTTACGCAATTTTGTGAATCGATGGATATTCAACATCCTTTCTTGCTACTTCCAACATTTATAGAATTTGTATGATAACCCTTCCTATAAATGACTATTGAGAATTTGAATTCTGCAAATTTATCAACACTGAAATTGATCAAATACGGTTCAATGGCGTTTCAGGCTTCTAAAAATTCTAAGCACACTCTTATTTCAACTTAAACCAGTCGTTCACATAGTCAGACCAAAGAAACCATTTGGTGGTATGTCTTTATAATCTGGCTGTCCTTGGGTTTCTTCTACACTATAGTAGGGGAGTCGACAACACATTCTTAGATTACACTGCGTACTGATGTGGTGTGATAAGAGCTAGTCAAATTCTGATGCCAAACAGCAAACTTGCTGAATTTTTCCGTAATATATCAATCAGTATGCGTTCTAACCAAAACTATGCGGTCGGCTCTTGGACCCATTCATGGTTTGCAACAACATGGCTCACGATTTACCGACGCAGTGTTGCCAAACTGACATAAGATGTTTAGAAAACGCTACATTTACACTGAGCTCTGTGAAATTCGGTGCTTTTCACGGCTTTCGGTAGTTTGTCAAATTAAATAAATAAACATATCGTCTTAAGGCTGGGCTGGCAGATGACTTATGGATTGGACTCTGAACAGCGGGGCCCCAGATAGTGAATAGTACTTAGAGAGGTATTCCAGGAGCACCTGCCATTAACGAAACGTGTTAGTGTTTTCAGATCTAGTCTCGAAAACTATTTGAGTAAACATAGTGAAAGCGTTTGTATACAACCAAACAATAGACAAATTTGATATGAATCATCCGCTCTGCAAGACTGGAGTAAACACGGATCTGCGCCGGTTTTTATTGAAAAAAAATCCTTTTGAACGTTGATCATTAGTTACTTCCTCCCAGAAAACAACCCATGTTATAGATTTGAAGGGGCAGATTCACTCGCTTTAGTAAAGATTGATGAATGATTATTTTTCAGCTGTCTAATGCATTTTGAATTCGACAGGTAAAGTTTTTCTTCTCTGAGTGCGTCCTGATGCCCTCATTTCCACGATGATGCATCCATTTTTTAGTGGTTCAATAAACAAAAAAAATTGTATATGTAATGAGTAGTGAAAAGACTCCTGTATATTTTGAATAAAGTTAGATAAAACTAAATGTGAAAAAAACGAAACATACAAAGATAAGAAACTTGAAAATAATAACCATATACAAGACTAGCGAAATCTGTTTTCCCTTTTAGATTTTCATGTATAGAAGGGCATTAAAAATAGTGCGCCAAATAAGCATCGTCACGATATGGCGCACTGTCTAGAGAAAATATATACAGCATGTAACAACAAGTATTACACAGCTGGGGTTTTATAGGGATTGTAAATGTCAAAGTAATGGTAATTACGTATGATGACCGGTTGTAAAAATACTGGTGGTACAGTATGTCATTTGAAGAGTTATTTTATATTTACTATTACTAATTCCTGAAATTATAAAATGGACGATATTATAATTGAAAGTTAAACATAGTCGCAAGAGAACCTAGATTAAGTAATAAGCGGCCCGCAGGTGTTTAAGCTTGTGGGACATGGAAGTAACACAAACATGATTTGACACAAATACTGCCCATCAAATGTGGCAACTTATAAGTTACAGTTTTGTAGCATATTCAATAAAAAAAACAGTATAGACCCGGGCTAGGATACTTCTAATGTCTCCAGAGAGCTGCTGTCTCGATCACATGATTGCGATTCTACATCAGAGCTGTCACTCGTCTTGCTACGCCTATTTAACCCTTTCTTGCTCATGAACTGCCTAATACTTCTTGAAAATTGGTCAGTAATCAAGTAGCATTCAGCCTGCAACACGTACACTTTGTTGCGCAGACAAGGAGCTAATTACGATCTTTATACTCGGTCGTATTTCCGTCACATCTTGTTTCAAAAGTCGACTCCTCGTAGCATCCTATCAGTCTGCAATCCACCAACCATGTTAGCGGCATGCGGGTTGCAGTATGCAAATATACTAAGTGACATATAAATCCGAACACCCAGTTTAAATGGTTTTATTTTAATAAAAGTTGGTGAATGTATTTATCTTACTGTAAATAAAAAGTGAAAAAATTTTCAGCCTTATCATTTGGACATTCCGGTTTTTATACTGCTTTTTTTTAATTCACCAACGCTCTAAAAATGAATATTTCAGCCGCAGTAAAGAATCAACGTTAGCGGATTTTGGTTCTTGACATCCTTTACGATCGGTTACGATGCCTAGAGTACGGAGACCTGTACGATTTCGTCAACTTAGTGAGGTTGATAGGGGCCGTATAGTGGGACTTCGGGAAGCTGGACTTTCTTTTCGGGCAATTGCAGTTAGAGTGCAAAGAAGTGTAGACACTGTGGTTAGGTGTTGTCAGGCATGGCTTCGAGAAGGCCGTACGCAAAGAGCAAGGGGCACTGGACGCCGCCGTAGAAACACAGACCGTGAAGATCGCCGCCTAAAATTATTGGCCTTAAGGGACCGTTTCTCCACTACCAGGTCCATTGCAAATGAATGGTTTACAGAACACGGAAGACCTATTGGCATGCGAAGTGTTCACCGACGAATGAGAAGTTTTGGCTTGTTTTCATACCGGCCACACTGGGTCCTCCCTTTAACTCGAGAACACCGACGTAATCGCCTCGAGTGGTGCAGACAACGGTCACTCTGGGATCAGGAATGGAACAGTATTGTCTTTAGTGACGAGTCTCGATTTTGTTTAGGCATGCACGATGGTCGTGCCAGGGTTAGAAGGCAACACTGTTGGAGTTATGGTTTGGGGTGTTATAGCTTATTGTTCCAGGTCACCTTTAATCTTCATCAGAGGTAACATGAACGCGCAGCGTTATATCCACGAAGTTCTAGAACCCCATCTTTTACCCTATCTTGACACCCTGGCAGATCCAACTTTTCAACAAGATAATGCCCGACCACATGTTGCAAGAGTCACAATAGACTTCTTTCAACATAATGATGTCACATTGTTACCATGGCCACGAAGATCTCCCGACTTATCCCCAATTGAGCACGTGTGGGATATGATGGGTAGGAGATTGCTCAATTTGCAACGTCCTCCTCAGACTGTAGAAGCACTTCGAGAGGAGTTGGTGGTTGCCTGGAATGAGATACCACAGGAGGACATTGACCACCTGATCAGAAGCATGCCTAGGCGCGTTGGAGAATGCGTAGCACATCAGGGTGCATCCACACATTATTAAAGGTCAAAGGGCTTTAAAGCAGTGCAATCATTTTGAAATTTTTATCATTTACTTATTAAGCTTCCTGAAGTACTTGTACAAAATTTTATTAAAATAAAACCATTTAAACTGGGTGTTCGGATTTATATGTCACTTAGTATATAAGTAAAACAAAAACCAGCGGGCTATGTTCGTCAACTACCAAGAAATCATTATTATTTTCCTTTCAACTTTTTCTGGGGATTCTACATACACTATTATAGATGTATCATCTGTAAACATCACTATCTTTTCCTGCTTTTATCTGTTTGGGGAGATCTTTTGCAAAAAGAATAAACATTAGGACTTCTACATAAAAAGATGGCAGGACCTAGGATACTATCGATTTCTGGATTAGATTTTGTATGAAATACCTACAGTAAATGAACTAACTGTATCAGGCATCAGGCCTGTTATCAAAAACCGTGTATGATAAACGGAAAGGATATTTGGAACTACCTTATGCCGAACTGACATACTGTGACGACATGAGCGCTGTCTTTTGGTGGCAGTAATAGGAACCATCGCGCGAGAGCGAACAACCTCGCAGCGCCATCTCTTGTTGACTATCTGGACTACATAGATTAGATCTTCCAGAACAACCCTCGACAAGGATTAGAAAGAGAGCCAGTAAGTCTCCGGAACACGATCAAAGCGAGCGCGAACCGCGGGTTGATGTTGATTAGTGATGTGTATTGTTGTTATGTTTAATCTGGGACTAAACACTATCAGTATAGAGTCTGACGTCTATGACAGAGTTATCTTCCTCGTAACGCCTACTTGGGTTTCCCTATTGTTCCAATAATTGCTTTTAATGCCCGAACAATTCTTCTAGTTAAACCACATTAATTAATAAATCAATGAAATGTCAACGATCTCTCAATAAAGAAAATGGTAGTAGTCCCATGTTACGTCATAACTAAACCTCTGAACAAATATCACGGTGTTTGTTTGCCTTACGCAAAATAGTGTCAGTGTACTGAATGTGAATATTTTAACTAGCTTGCTTAATGGGTTACTCATTATCGGATAGTAGAAATAGTAGAGAAAAAGGTGAAGGTGCCTACGTCCTCTGTCACTATTATCTGAAAAATGAATTTGATCCTTACACCGATATATACATATAGGTATAACAAAAAGTAGGAAAATAATTGCCAAAAT